TTTCTTTATTTCCAGTCCCACGGACTTCATATTAAGTAAAGAACTGCAAACTTTTAGTGATCAAACAAAATAATTTACGGGAGTTCACCTTTAACATATGGGGGCTGCGATATTTTTAGCATGGGGTTTGGGAACGGAGAGTGACAGCGAAACGTCGCAGAGCTCCGGCAAATTCCACCCACAGCCCCAGGAGAGGCCAGCTGTCTGTCAAGCACCCCCACGCTTCCTCTCACACCCCCCGACAGCATGCGCAGATAAGCCCCCCCTCCCACTGAGTACTGGGCCATTCCCACGCCCCGCGTTCCAGTGAGTTGGGGCTGAGCAAGAGCGTCACGTGTATGCTTCAGGAGTGTGTGGCAGGGGCGTCACGTGTATGCCTCAGGAGTGCGTGGCGGGGGCGGGGCGTAACGTGTATGCTTCAGGAGTGTGTGGCGGGGGCGGGGCGTCACGTGTATGCCTCAGGAGTGCGTGGCGGGGGCGTCACGTGTATGCCTCAGGAGTGCGTGGCGGGGGTGGGGCGTCACGTGTATGCTTCAGGAGTGTGTGGGCGGGGCGTCACGTGTATGCCTCAGGAGTGTGTGCCGGGGGCGTCACGTGTATGCCTCAGGAGTGCGTGGCGGGGGTGGGGCATCACGTGTATGCTTCAGGAGTGTGTGGCGGGGGCGGGGCATCACACGTATACAGGGCAGGGGCTCACGTGGAGGAATTTTCTCTTATGTAGCTTTAACTTTCACATGGCACAAGACTGCGCAGCTTCGGGGTTATGAAGTGCTCCTTCTGAGACTAAATGTGAGCAGAATTGAACCCTGAGGCAGGAACATTAAACATGAGAGAAACCTGCAGGAATCAAGAGGATCAAACAGGGTGCCAATGATTAGCCTTACATCCATCATTCCTCGTTATTAGTGTTACATCCATCGTTCCTGTTGCCTTCATTCCTTTAGCAGATCCTGTTTTCCATATTTACCAGAATAAATACAAAGCATTAAAATATTCTGGCCAGACGATTAAAAAAAACATAGTAGAACCAAATTAACCTCACTAGCTAAGTGTCACGTTCGGGCTTAAGGCGAACAGGGAAACAGGCGAAAGCAGCCAGGAAGTCAGGGTAACGGGGTTTATTCCACGCAGACTGACAGGTACGGACAATACA